CCCGGGAATCCAGCCTGGCTCCCGGTGGAGCCCAGAGGGACCCCAGGCATCTGGGCCCCCAGCCCCCTCCCTGCTCTAACCACTAGACCCTACTCCCAAAGAACCCAGGTGTCCAGGCTCCCCTCCCAGCCCCACAGACACCCTGGACTTTGCCCTGTCTGGGCCCCTCCCTGGTCTCCCATCCAGTTGCGACACTGGGTTTTGCTGGGCTGGTTGTTTTTAGACTGGGGGGGGGCTGATGCGAAGAGAACCCGGGCCCCCCCAGCCCCCACCCCTTCCCAGAGCTGGAGGTCTCCAGGCTGTTCAATGAGGGCGGGGGTGGCACTGGCTCCTGGAGGTCAGGGGTAGGCTAAACCAGTCTGACCAGTCTGGGACACTGGGCAGGTCCCAGTAGCTCAGTGTCTACCTTTGGCCTGCTTTGAGGATGGGAACTGAGGGCCTGGATGCCTAGGAGGGGACAGGGACTAGGGGGCGAGAGCAGGCTGAGCATGACCTCTGCCCCCAGACCCTGCCCTGGGGGTGGGCATTAGCCCCTGAAGCTGCCCCCCACTTGCCCCCCTGGGGCAGCCTTGACCCCACCTGCCCCCCCTGCCCTTGGTGGGGCTGGGACATCTGATGGGCACGGGGCCCACGGTAATGAGCAGGTGTGGACAGAAAGGTCTGGGCTTGGGCCTGGACACCTGGGTCCCACGGGTGGGGGGTGTGGAAAATTCCAACCCTGGTGGGGGGAGGCGGGGGGCAGCGCAGAGGGGGGCTGGGAAGGTGGCCTGGGGCAGCCGGGATGCCTGGCTTCTCTGCAGGTCTGGGTGGGGGCTGGGGGGCCAGATGCCCAGCTGGGAGGCGGGGGGCAGAGAATGGGCTTGTTGGACTGTGTGTGTGTGTGTGTGTGTGTGTGTGCATGTGTGTGCACCTGTGTGTGTGTGTGTGTGGGTGGGTGTGTATCCATGTGTCCAGGATGCCTGGGTTCTGTGTGTGCGTGTGTGTGTGCATACATGCCCGCCTGCATATGTGTGTATCTGTCCCCCAGACCTCTGAGTCCTCTGTGTGTCTGCGTGTGTGTCCTGGATGGCAGGGGTGTGTGTATATGTGTGTGTGTGTGTCCCGGACCCCTGAGTTGTGGGTGTGTGTTTGCACATGGGTGTGCATATGCATGTGTGTAACATATACATGTGCTTGAGGGTGTCCTGGATACCTGAGGCTGTGTGTGTGTGTATGTCCTGGGCACCAGGTGTGTGTTTGTGTGCATGGTTATGTGTGTGTGTCCCCTCGAGCACCTGGGCTGTCTGCATGTGTGTGTGTGTGTGGGGGGGGGGAGAAGGGCGGTGCATGGGGGGGTGTGGACCTGGGCACACCTGTGGGTGCACAGTCATGTCTGTGTGACCACATGGACACACAGACCCTTCCCGCTCCCCCCCACCCCAGAGACACACAACGCACTTCAGCTGGGAGCAACACGCACACAATCCAGGTGACCTGGACCCCCCAGGGGTCCAAGACACACGCACACACACAAACACATGCACATGTAGACACACACATGGAACTCAAGTGTCCAGGTACACACACACATCTGGTACTCTCTCTCACCCCCCCCCGCAAGTCCTGCGCGCGCGCACACACACACA